TTAACGGTACAACGGTGGTGTTCGCCCGGTTTCTCTAGAACTCCTTTGGATGGTGACATTGATAACGTAGTGAACGGATATCGCTGGCTACTTTGTGGTTTGAGAGAAACCCCGTGGAAAGTAGCGACCGTTCAGCGATGATCCACCAAAACTCATGGTGGCCGGATGTTACGTTTTAAAGGAATTCGGTGAGAGAACTTTGCAATGGGCGGTCGTTGAGCCCTGGAAGTTTCCGGTTCCGCCAATCAATCAAAGGCTTAAGCGCAGTTGCCCCCCTAGCCGACCCACACCTACCGTATCTCGGCGCCCTGTTCATCTACAGGTGTGTAATTATACCAAAATACTGCCAAAGCAAGACGAACATTTTGGTATACCTTAGAAGACTACCTGTAGATAAACAGGACTACGGATACAGAATACATAAAGATACAGATAACAGAACAGGAACAGGATAAAAGACTAATCAAATACGTTGGCTTTAGGCTAAGGCGTTATAACGTCATGGAGTGGATCAGGTAAGCTTCAATAATCGGTTTAACGGGAGAATGTGCACACCATGCCAAATGCAATGTCTTCTGGTCAGGGCGTAACCGGGAATTTGATATCGGATCTGAAGTGGAATAGAGCACGTAGTGTGTGTATAGCATTGATCGTCGGATGAAGCATCGATTTATTAGTTTTAGTTCCCTATGCGTTGTTTAAAATTTCACAGGTAGTGCAAAAATTTGAATTCCTGGATGTTTCTTATTTGTTTAATTCTTGCTTGAATTTGAACTTCGTTCACTGGATGACCCTTTAGCCCGCTAAAGACTTTGAGATTTCGATGCACGAGTTCCGCGGCACTCCCCAAAATGGCGCCACCCCGCTTTTCCGGTCTTCGATCCGCCGAATCCGGGTTCAGCGTCCGGCCCGCTGATCGAAGGCATCTATCTCTTATCGTCTCCTAGCAACGGTCCGAAACGAACTTTCTGTTGCTCGATCAACTAATACACCTGGTCAAAAAGGTGCGATTTGATGTTTTATTTAGATAACCAACAATGTCGAAATCTTAAGCTTAGCGTGTGATAATCGTAGGAAGCGGACTAATCTTTATTACACACAGTAACGAAAACACGCCTGAAAGAGAATAAGAAAAATATAGCTGAGACAAATCATGCTTTCAGAAAAACGTATTTCTCGTGATTTGCTGCCTTTCAATCGCTTCGAAGATGGCCTTGAAATTCCCAGCTCCGAAGCCCTAAAATAATTTAAATTGGATCGTTCGTGATTTTTACTTTAAAATTGTGGCGCTCAATAAATTCAAAGAACAGCGTCGGGCGGTCATCGAGAGGGCGAGTAAATTTTTGGAGGATGTAGCCCTTCTCGTCGAAATCGATGAAGATGCCCAATTCTTGAGTCGATCGATGTCGGCTTCGATCTGAAAGTAAAACTCAATCGTAATTTTTATGGCTAATCATACCGGACAATTGCTGGTGCTCAGCTTCTCCCGAACTAATTCGTAATATTTGGCGGGGACATCGAGCAGTTCAACGCCACTAAAATCCTATACTATCGTCGGCTAAGTCGTGATGTACCGTGCTCGCAACGCCTCCACCGTTGCCACCAGGTCGTCGGTATTCAGCGCGACGTGCTGAACGCCAGGGCCGCCGTTGTAGTTGGCGAATTCCTTAAAATAAAATAAATAAAATGCACAAAATTCCGATTTAGCTGACTTGAATTTGATTTGTCCTTTTCCCCAGAGCTTCATTCCCCTTGGCCACCACAATCTGTATCTTCTCGTTTTCGCTGGCCTCAAATTTCGCGGAAAGAGCAGAATTTTCGGTCGTGATATACTCCGGGCCATCGGTCCAATATCTAAAAAATCAAGCAATGAGTTCGAAGTCCTACCTATGGAAAAGCAGGTTGTCTTCATACCACTCGACTACCGATTCCATCTCATCTTCCTTTTGGGCACCAACAAAGTGATCAATGGTGTTGACGTTCGTCTGAAAAGTGGCTATTTTCCTAGCGCTCGATTCTAAATGAAATGGTAATATTCAACTTTTATACCTTTGGCATATTCTCGAAGCATTGACCGTCCCAGTGGTGCTTCCGGAATCCAGGCAGGAACAACCCACGATAGTTTTTTCGCTCGATTAGTGTGTGGATGACGTCACCGAACTGAAATATATTAATCCTGATTTAAACAGAAATCAAAAAAACGTTAAACTGAATGACTTACCGCAAGTATCGAGGCGCTTTTCACAGTCCCATTTTCATCAGATTCCACCGTCATCTCGCGTACAATTCGTGTCTTCTTGGCCCGTGCATGCTCAAGGAATACCTCGAGGTTGTCAACCCTAAACTTACAAAAAAACCTTAAAGGGGCTCCGAAATGCCAAAATTGAATTAAGGCCCGAAAATTCAAGCCCTCGTACGTCGGAGGCCTCTGTACGCCCAGGGGCGCGGGAAGACGTAAATTTAAAATTGCCTGTGGTCAACTCCAAATCACGTTCGTGGCGGTTTCTGAACCAAATTTGATGTTGAAACACCAAAACCATTTAAAATTCACTGACCATTTCAAAAATGGGCTCGAAATACGCGAATTATAGTGTTTTCACAAAGTTCGACCGCGCAAAGATCGAAAAAGTAAGGGGCTCCTAGTCCCACAGCGTCCGCTGGCAATTTGCCAGAAATCCAAGAGACCTCCCAAAAGGCCTTTGATTTGGCAGTTCGGAGCCTCTTTAAGATCAACCTGTTACCTCAAAGGCAACATCTTTCACCGAATCTCCATGCTTGGTCAGGTAGTCGCCAAAATTCTTGTTGTCAGGGACGGTCGTGCCTTCGAGGACGAGGATTATCTGGAAAGTCAAGTAGTCCATTTATGTCATGTATTAATCTACTGTACCCTTCCAATTTTGACGGCATGTGCTGTCAGTTCCTTGCTTCCAGTTTCTAGTCCTTTGTATGCAAATGGTTCGAAGCCAAGGCTAGCGCAGAACCAGAAGGCAGCCTGGAAAAGCGTAGATTACCGTATCTAATCTCTCTAAAGACCTAGCATCCCCCAGACACTGTATTTTTGCGAAAACCTTTCAAAAGAAAGGATTGGCAGTTTAATCATTTTTAGCACTTTTATGGCTTGGAGTCACTCAAAATACTGTAGGTCCCCATGAATATCAGTTTCCCCCCCCTCTTCCCCCCCCCCCCCCCCCCCCCTACTTATTTAATAAAATAGGTCATACCTGCTTAGCATTTCCAACTCGAAGTCGAATATGATCGAAATCGACCGGAGAACTTACTGGCTGAAACCTGAGCTCCTCCTACTGTACGGGCTGCCTACCGTATCCCCACCGGCCAAGATCTCGACCTGCGGAGCCATAGTATCCTGAGTGATGAGTAGTGATCACCATAGCATATCAACCCTTTTATAGCATCAGCTTCTGATAGGCCTCTTCAATGACAAATCGGGCTCAAATCAACCCTGAACACCGTATCCGCCTCTTCCCGGGCATTTTTTTGGATCGACTGCCGCAGTGTAGTCCCACCACCCGGAAACCCGGGTGGTGGGGTGATACGGTAGGATGACAATGAGCGATGTTCGCTGAAATCGCGGTAAGGTCCGGGAGACTCTTGCTTCGGTGATCGGAAATCAAATACGATCTCTGGACCCATAATGGTGTTTACGTTTATTATCATAAAAATATAGTAAAGTGTACGGCATTACATATACTGGGTGTCTCAAAAAAAAGCACCCCCCGCTAGCGGTCCGGGGGAAACTCAGATCAGGATGATTTTTATACCATTCGAAAGCCCGGGAAAAGAGGAAAAAACAAGCGGCTTCTTTTCTAAAATATCTTTTATTCAACGTTTTTGTAAGAGACAGGCAGCTTTAAAAGAAGTTCTCTTAACATAAATTTCGCATATTAGAATGCGACCCTCTTATCTGTGTTTTCTGGGTTTGAAAAAAAAAATAAAGAAAAGAATATTTTAAGGTTTTAATAATAAATAAAGAGAGATTATTAATAAAAAAATAACCCTCCTTTTTTTCTCGCCTTTTCAGCTTTCGATAGACACCCAAACGGTGTAAATTGGACACGACTGCGCGTCGCTAGAGGGGGTGCTTTATTTGGGACACCCTGTACTATGCGCTTTACCTAATAACCTTTTGAGCAAACCAATGCCCAAAAAACGAAGTTGCAAACTGAGATTTTTGGACCGGTCCAAAGACGACATTCCAATACGCCTTCTTCCGAATTCTAAATACAGTTTGGACAGGTTTTACCGTGGATGGGGCGGATCTACTACTGTACGTCAATATATCGTCTTTTTATGCGACGCTCGATATCAAACTAGGCGGACAAATGACGAAACAAACTAATCCAAATTTCGGAAACGAATTGCCAATGTTTTAATTGCGTAAAATTTTTCGATGAGCGGATATACACGTATACCGATCAATGGCCCAGAAATCGGCAATGATGTCGATTTTGTTTGACTCCGAATAACGCTGCTTGCATGCTTCCAAATTTAGTCCCTTTACCAGGCACTTGATTAAGCACAAAATGGCTTATGCTGGTTCAGCATGTCACCTGGTATTCAGAGCCGACGAAATCAAACCTGGACCGTACCGTGCTGGTTAATCATTAGCTTCCCCCAGCATATCCTACAAAATCCCGTCGGCTTCGTTTCGCCTTCGCTTTCCCATATATCGACCCTTTTCGCAATTTCCCCGGCTACCCTGATCACTGTCGTACATTTCCGTTGCTCGACGGGGTACGACGTGGCTCCACCTAAAAAGCACGCAGAGCGTGTGGGGGCGATGATATTAAAAACAACCACGATGATCGGGGGCGATGGTTCGAGGCCGGGAGGATCCCGATTTTTTGCGCCTTTTGTTTCGTTGACGGCAACTTTGGGAAAAAAGGGATCAAATTGTGGTTGGAGACGCCATCTTTGAGACATTTGGGAAAGCGTTCGGGAAGCGATATCCAATGCTCGCCATCAAAAATGATGAGAGATTCTGGGCTCCGCCATCGGCTGCGACTTCATCACCACGTCTTGGATGATCAAATTTTACAATGCTTCTGGAGATATACCAAGGACATTTCAGGGCCTCAGTTCATTTTTATGTAAATCCTGAAAATAAAAATCTCCTCGAGTTTTGACCAGGCGGCCTGAATAAAAATAACTTGTAAAAATTAATAAAATTAACGCATTAAATAATAATAATATTTATGCAAATTTCATTGAGAAGGCCGTTTAAGATTTGTGTTGCCCTTCCAGGCTTGGATGGTTTGTTGCTGTGTCGACGCCTTCTGGAATACGTTGGGCCCGCTGGTGTGCCTCGACGACGTGTCCATGCTGACTGTGAGGTGCTGCATCCGGCCCAACGGTACCCCAAAAAAAGTATCCCGAAGGTCACGGCGTAGGCTTCTGAAAGGATTTTTGTCCCATAGTTGTCCTCTTGCACATGATTTAATTATTTGCGGGACCTTATTATCGATTTCTCAGATTTTTTTTGCGTTTGCAAACGCCCAAATTCCCGTTCTAATAGCAGCTTCAAAAAGTTTAATCCGAAACCCGGTGTTTCCCCTCACATTTTCGCTATGCGTGCGACCATCCAATTCGGCGCAAACCCCCGCCAAAAGCTATTTATGACCCTTCGCGTAAAGTCAATTTGTTCAAAGTTCCGGGTCCCAATCCTTTTACTGCAAAATCGCAAAATATAAAACCTAGAACTTACTTGTTAAAAATAAAAAGCACAGCAGGCTCCTGTGAGCACTGGAGGACCCATAAAAGTTGTGAAATAAAATTAATCAAGACTGCGGTGGTAGGGGTCGAGTCGTCAGCCCATGGCAACACCACTTCCCAGCCGACAAAGCAGATGATAGAGCAGCAGAAAGTGACGAATAGCTAAAAGTAAAAAAGAATAAAGATATTACGAAGCTCCTTACCTGGATGGTAATGGTATAATCGGCTTTCTTCAACTTCCGCTTGTGAAATAGGAGTAATGGCGTTATAACGGCATAACTCAACGCTCCGGCAACCAATGAAATATAGTTGCAACAGATTCGGATCTGATTTGTGATCTGGGAGAAGATCCAAATCTTGTCGAATTTTAGGAATAGTAGCTAAAACAGCCATACTCGACTGAGCTATCGATATTTTCATACCTGCCTCGGCGAAAAGTACGCCGCACCTTGTGGGGTATAGAATTTAATAGCGACAAAGAAGAATAAAAATATATCAAAGATTAAAATCGTCTAAACAGGAAAAGAATAGTGCCAAAAAGATCTTTCATACCATAAATACCCATTTCGGTATGTCCTTGGCTCGATGGGGAAAGGCGATTAGGGTCATGCGATGAAGCGAAATGACGCCTCTCAATAAATCTGATGAAAAACATGCCGCGTAGCCAAGCGGAATTGTTAGCTAGAAAAAGGTATGATCGCTATTACCGTAAATTACCATAGAAAATTTAGGACCAGTATCAGCGACTAATGTAATGATGGCAGCCACCATATGTGATTGCATTTGAATGAGATTGAGCAGGCATAGCTGGGCCAGGATAAAATAGAAAAAGGTAGAACAGAGATCTTTGGTGCGTCGGAGGGCGACCTAATGGTTTTAAGGTTTTAATAAATCGATCTATGCTTACGATCAGCATCCCAATATTCACTGGAAATCCTATAAACGCGGCAACAATTTGTGGGATGCCATAGGCGATTTTATGCTCTTCATCTAGTATCGGGTAGTCGGGAGGGGAAGTTGGATGTGGTGGGAGCCAGAGAAATGTTAGGTCCTCGTAGTCTCCCATCTAAAACAAATCTTAGATAAATATTGCTACAAAATAGAATAGACAACAAATAAAAGCCAAAGACAGCATTTTCATGGTATCGGTTCAACACCAAATTTGAGAGCTTATTGAAACAGCGCAAAAGATCCATATCCGAAACTGGTGCCAAAGTTGAATCCAATCTCCACCAGCCCGCAAAAAAAGGAAATTTACTCCCCAGCAAAAAAAACCGGCAAATGGCCTCGCGACGGCGGTTCCATAATTGGCCCCAGGGTTGAAACGAGCAGATTTTAGGAGTGCCCCCGTAATCAATCGGGGGCAATTTTGTTCCAAAATTCATCAGGGATCCCCAGAAAATCGCGGAAATCGTGAGAAGCGCATCAGAGCCGGAGCTTTGAAATTTCAGCTTTTAAAAATTTTGGATTTTTGCCTCTTTTTCGATAAACTTTTTTGATCCAGCCGTGGCAACATATGGGGATGGTTAACGAGTCCCACGTCGAAACTATGACCGATGTTGGGTCGCGATTCGATTGGTTGCGCCGGAACTATCCAAAAACATCTTAAAAACCCATTTTCCTGGTAGATTTGATTGACGACGAACGAAGTGGACTGGTTTCCACGCAGGCAATGAAATTTCGCGCAATTTCCGGCCTTTATTAGATCCACAAATGCGGCCATGCAGATGATAGACTGGAAAGCAATCGGGGCCGGTGGAAAATTCTTTATCGCGAGCTGGCATCGGAAGCTCTTGACTAAAATGTAATAAGAAAGAGAGAAACGGTAAAGAAACGGTTATGTCTTCGCGTGTATGGGCACCAGGTGGGCGAGATATTTTAATATCGCTTCCAAAAACCCCGATTCCAGCTGCCGCCAGCTGGAATTCGTTGTCTACCGGCGTCAAAGAAATCGAAAAACTTCCGGCCCCCATGTAGTCATCTGACACGTTGCTGATCACCAGCTGATAAATTCTCAATCCTTTATTTATCCGTATTTTGATACAAACCCGTTTGGTGTCGAGAAATGGCATATGCTAAGTTTAAGGTATCAGAGGGTAACATTGGGTAATGGATATCCTAGATAGACATAATCATAGAAATACATCTTTAGAAAGGTTTCAAGGAGCATAGGATCATTTTTAAGTTGTTCGGTGTACTTCATGCGGTCACCGGTTTGGTAGGTCGAGTGGTAGGTTCGTTTTCCGATCACCTAAAATTTGGGAATTTATGTAATGAGGTAAAAAAAGGCCTGAAGCACCTGGGCTAATTGCTAGTTCTTGCGACGGGGCAAGCATAATACTTGACGTCCAAATTTTGGGATTAACAAAACACCGGAAGAGTGAGAGAGCGAGAGAGACTAGCTCACGTTGAACTTTCTTGCTTTTGTAAAATCGGTAATATAAAAGAATTACCTGCTCTTTCACTCGATCTCCAACTCTCTTTGGCACTCCCAGTGCCTCAAATTCATCAAACAATTCGTCGAGCATTTGTCCGGTTGTCGGATGGGAATAGTGGAAAAAGCGATACTCGGAGAAATGGCTCCCGAGCTGGCAGTACCTAAACAATAGCCGTAAGTCGAGGTCTACAAGCTGAGAAAAGCAGAAAACTACAAGTAGAGAAAACCTACCACGTCTGTGGTGCAAAATGCTCGTTCTCCATGCTGTAGCCAGGCTTTCCGCCCCTGGTCGCTACCAAAAATGAGTTGTATTGGGCCTTGATGAAGCAAGCTAGGTCTCCTTTGCATCCATAGCATGAGGTTCCGGTCGGGACGGTCTTATTTTTGGCTTTCGCTTTACTGAAAAAAATTATATTACCTTGTATTCGATGATAATCACAAGTTTTGATTAGATAAGAGGCCGTTTAGACACCTTTTGTTCGCGCATTAATGGTCGGCGCTTGAATTTTGAATGTAGGTTGTGCTTTGACGTCACACTTTTCTAGGTTCTCATCGCTAGCGGGCTTAAATTTGACACAAAATACAACAAGCCGCTTTTCCCTCTTTTCAGCACGCGGTATCGCCCGTACCTAACCGTCCAGCACAACTTTTAACAAGCCGCTTACGTCACAAAATACCCACATGACGCATTTGTCCAGAAACCCCGAAATAAACCGCTCCATCGGCTCCCTCGTCAGCACATAATATCTCCACAAATTCAGCTTGCTCTGCATCTTGGCCATCTCGATCCTCCGCTGCCCGCCGGCCCCAAAGAATTCGTTCTTATTGCCGCAGTGCCTAAACTGGTTCGCTGGCCCTGGTGGGGATCACCCAAATAATTCGTGCGATTCGCGTATCGGAAACCGCTGGGCAAACTTGTGGTGCGCCCCCAGTGTGGCAAAAAGTTAAAGTCCAGCACCGAGCGCCTTTTTGGGGGGAGTTGCAAAAAAAAGCGGGAACGCAAAACGGCATCGAAAATCCGGGAGCGACGTTAAAAATTCAAAAGCTCAGAAGAGCAGCTCAGGGAAAATTTCGGGGGTGGTTTTGTGGTGTCTATGTTGTCAAACGGCGTGAAGAGGAATGGCTACCTGAAATCCCAGGTATCCTGCATCATATCTTGCACAAAATTTTCATAGCTGGCAATATCGTAGAGGTAGCACATAATTGAGGTGAGGACGGTGGAGAAATTTTTGAGGATTGCACATGCGGCGATGCCAAAGCGTTCGGCCATCTTCAAAAGGGAACATATTCGGAAATTCAAGTTTTAGACACGGCTTAACACAAACGTTGACAACCTACCAAATGGCGTCCACTGTAGTCAATCATCGGTTGCAAAATTGTGCAATTAGCTTTGTAAAGACAAAATTTCTTCTCAAACTCGAGAATCCGCATTTGCGAATTAACACTGGTATTTAACTAAAAAAAGGTTTTCTATTTTAGATGATATTTACCCCATTTTGTGGTACAGCCGCGACACTCGATTCGACGTTTCTTTTGGCAAAGTGTCCCGACGTTGTGCTGGTTTTGCCGTGAAATGAAAATATAATTAGAAATGCGGAGGCGATCATCAAGATGGCTTTTGGGTAGAATTGTGGTCGGCTCAAGATTTTGTGCATTCTGAAAAGTTTGAATTCGGAAAGGCTTTGGAATTTAGAAGAAATTTAGCGAAGGCAGAAAGCGTGAAAACGGGCGGGAGTGCTCGCCAAAATTACGAGTCTCTGAAAACGTCAAGCCTGGACAAGTCACGAATGCCAGAATTTCCAGCCGAAAATGCAAAGCGCCAAGAGAATGTCAGCCAGAGGCTAGACCCGGAAATCCCACCCCAAAATAACAAATGAACATCGGCAGCATCATTCCCCGATCTACAAGCAAGCCTAGATGACCAAACACAGCAACGCCCGCGGGCCATCTGACGCGTGTCATGGCGATTTCTGTATGCGCAGCTATCATGTTTTTGTCTATGCTTGCCATGCACAATGCTTTTTCTCGCGTTGTCAGCTAGACAAAAACGATCGGCATTCGCCCAAAAATGGACACTGGAGGGTGGTTTCTGGTGTCGATCGGCGACCGAGGGAAATTAGGGTTGCGATGGTCGTATGGAATATTCTAAGCGGCATGTCATTTCGGTTTTTTCTGTGTTTAGGGGTTCAGTTGGCTACGGTTTACTTTACCCCCCCCCCCCAGCCGGAAGTTTTTGGCTATAACTTTTCTATTTTACATTATTGTAGGCTCAAATTAAAACTCTTAGCATATTTTTCGACGCTCTATCGAATGGCGTTGCAAAAATCCCGACAAAATAAGCGAAAATGCCGACAACTTTGAGACCCTTCGGCTGTGGGGGGGTAAAGTAAACTCTTACCGTTCAGTTAGATGGCCGGATTTTGGCGGCCAATTTTGGGTTGGGAAAGTGAACGTTTGTCTCGAGATTACGATAGCTTGGCGAATTTATGGGAAGATCAGCGAGTTTTTTATAAATCTGTTTAAAAATCGTTCGCCAGTTTTTGTAATGACCAAATTTCCAAAAGGTTGCGCCGAAAACAAAAGGGATTTTCACCACTAGAAAATGACTATTGTTCTGGAAACCTAAAACTACTTCTATGGAAATCGATCGAAGAACAAATTTTCATGGCTTTCAGGTTTAAATTTTTTGATCCAGAAAAGAACACGTATATTTGATCAGGCTGTTATTAATTAGAATTTTAATAGCAGCAAATTCAAAATTGCTAGCTTTATTGCAATTCAAATTAATTTTTTAAGCTTGGTGCGTTAATTTAGAGTTTTGAATCATTTTCCGAAAAATATGAAAAACTTAAAATGGCGATAAATTTGAATCTACCCAACCCAGAGCCTTAAAAATCAACGACAAGTGAAATACGGCTCACACGCTCGGTCAAAATGTTTTTGTCGCCAGGGTTGAAAAACGCACAGGAGTGGCATCAGTGTTTCACTGGCCAGCACAACCGATGATGCCCTCCGCGCAAGCTTCCTGCTAAAATACACCCCAAAACGTAGGCTGTTCCGATGAGCGGCGCCGATCTTCGGCTAGCCGCCACACAAATTCCTCGGCCTCGGAATAAATAAAATATCGACAATGAGTCGGAAGCGTGGGTCGAATAATGGCAAAAAATGGGGTGGAAACATCTCGAACGGAAGGCGCTGGAATGGATTTATCGTTTTGTGGAAATTGGCCGAACACTGATCACAAAAAAGCTTATAAAATAGAACATCGAAGACCTCTTACATGGCTGCTTGTTAATCTGCCAATTCTACCGGTAAGCATGCGGGGTTTCTGATTTGAATGTGGGTAGAATTTTTAAAAATTGGGGGATTAGGGTGTTGGGAGTCAGATTAGGTGCAGCAGTAGAACAACATCATCATAATACGCTGGTATTTGCCTAAAAAGGACGGACGGAGACGACGGGAACTTTGACAAAATGAAAAACTGGTCTACTATCCAAAAACCAATACCCGATTTTGCATTGACCACCAGCTAGTGTGCACTGTTTTTTTTTGGTGTGATGCACAAGGCGGGTCACAAATAAAAACGAAATGATAAGAGGATGAAACGAGGACCGGCCACGCAATTATATCCACCCAGAGATCAGGGCTCGCTTTCCCTCCTCGGGGGGGGGGGGCATCCCCCCACTCCTTTTCCGGTGCACTAAAACGCACTGCGTTTCCCCCGGTTCCGGTCATTCCCTAGCGCCGTATTTGTGCAGGAATTTTTGGGGAGTAGCGGATCAAAGCCCGGCATCAATTTTGGAAGGATCAACTGATTAGTCATAAAATTGTTCGAATCCCAAGGATTTCCTTTCATTAATCTCTTTCAAAAATTCTAAAATGTATCTAAAAACTCAGACCCAGGTTTTTTTCAAGTCTTTTAAGACGTTGTTGATATCACAAATGCTTTATTTATGGTGAACAATGTGGAGATGCGATAGAATAGAAGAATTATTCAAATTAAACAATCCCTGGAGCGGTATTAGTATGTTTTGAGCGCTCGACTCGCGCAACCGGCACCGATTCAAGCCGGACCCGAATAGTGAACGGAATCAGAAAAAATCGGCGAACCGCGGCACTCAAAGCAATTAGAGAATACAATTGTGTAAACAGGACAAGATCGTTAATCCAAAAATATTGCCAACTAATCCACGAAGCCAGATTAGTTAAGTTGTACAGATTGGCGTACGAGCGGACTCCCTAGAATTAACACGGTAGCTATCAGCAAAAAATGCCGAAATTTACCTGTTGAGCTCCCATCAATAAACTAAAAGTGAAGGCAACAATTGTTTGAAGGCCCAGCTGACGTTCTGAGGATTTTCCGGAAGCTACCCGGACCAATCGGCGGATCATAAGGGAATTCAGGCAAAAACATAGGACCGTGACGATAAGGCAAATTATAGATGATACGGCTTTATTGATCTATATTTATTGATTTTAAAATATATGTTATTGTCCTACCCCAGCCCAGGGTGCTAGATTACCACGAGCTTGATAAGTACCATCACCGAGATCCGCGACAAAAATTGGTATCGGAATAGTATAGGCCATACAGAGGAGAGCAAGGATCCATGGAATGATGTAGGTCCATCGTCCGATTTTCGACCAGATCTAGATACCTACTGATGTGTAATGATGGCTATACCTTTTCATGGCGTTGAAAATCCAGACACAAGGCTGTAAATCGGTTAATTGAAGTCATCAGCATGGCGAAATAGAATGTAAAGTAGCTGAGTGATGAGAAAATATTGCATAGGCGGTATGGCATCTAAAGAAATTTTGCGAACTGTCGCTCTCTCTCTCTCTCTCTTTTTTACCTCTCTCACTCGCGTTCTTTATTTCTCTCCGTCTCGCTCTCTCTCTCTTACCTCATCTGGACCATAATGTATTAAATGTAAATGTCGTAAAACAGCATTTGCAATGATGGAGATGACGTCCCCAAATACTAAGTTTATATTAAGCAGAATGCCACGTCCTTTTGACCGTAAAACTTACCTCCCGATAAGAATATCTTAAAAAACGCGGTCCGGAACAGCTTTTCTTTGCTTCCCACAATCTTCCAAGATAAGAATATGGCCGTGAGCGAATATACAACCTCCGTAATTAGCAGAAAGATGTTGAAAGGATCATACATTTCCTGAAAACTGCAACTCTTATATGGAAAAACATATATTTGCCAGAAATTTGGAATTGCTTATGGCTGGGCATTGGCAAAATTCAGGGTCGATTCCGTGTAGTCTATTATAATGCCAGCTGCATAGACAAGATACCTACGGAAGATTTCTCTAGGGAGGGGTTTACAAATTTTTCTGCCTATCCCTCCGCTAATTTCGGTTGGTGGTGAATGAGAAAAAGGGGAGATTGTGGTGCAATTCCAGGAAAAAAACTGCAACCAAAGTTCGAGATTGGCTTGAGACTGTAGCCTCATCATTCTTTTCAAGGGATAGAGGTAAGTCAACTGGTTAGGGATCCTGAAAATCGTAGATGTGTGAATCAATGTGGTGCTTTTTGCTTTAAATCGCTAATTGAAAATAGCTAACCATGTTCAGCACACAGCTAGACACTTTCCCGTTGGTTTCTATCTATTTTGGAGGGTGTTGTCAGCGTTGGCAATTCGGATCTCTCTTAAAAAATACAGGTGGAAATTCATTTGCAGCTGCCGCACTAAAAGGATATTTTTCCGAATATATGAATTTCAACAAGGAAGAGTTTCCTGACCGCTCGGCAACTATTTGAAGCCGTCGAAGCGTGACTAATTCTCTAAAAACAGCCAGATAGATAGTCGACTTGCCGGTAAAAACTCCTAAGTGTCTACGTCCGAATCCGGCGGAATTAGCACTTTTGTAAATTAGCTAAGTGGTTTTTGATCGCGAGTATTAGTGCCTGTCCACAAAAAACGGAATTGCCGTGCGAAACCGAACCGGCGGCGCCATGCGCCTTTCCGGCTACAAGTTGTTTGTTTTTTTGTAGGCGTGCAAAAGGACTTTTTATAGAAGACATGATCTTCCCAAGGTTTATTGACCTGGAAAGCATATATGAATTTCTAGCGGATATAGTTCTTGCGGTGACGCTGATTCGGCTGGTCAGGGGATGGGGGCGTTGAGTTGATTTTGATCTCGATACTGAAGCGGATGCCGAATAGTTGGCGAATCGAGGCGCTTTTCTAGCAGAAATAACATGGTGTATCTAAGTTAAAAATGAGCTTTTCGGCAATTTATAAGCCTTACAAAACTTTACGCATTTTATAAAAACACAAAAAAATAGAAAATATAGGTTCTTCGGCAATGCATGGCAGAGTTTCCAACAAAATTTCATACCCGTCAGAGCTTTTTAAATAGTTCGCACTAAAACCGTTGTTAATTTTAGTAAAAAACATTGTTAGAATCGTTACTCCTGCATTAAAAGGCATTTCTGTGCTTACAGTACGCCCCCCATCCCCGATAATGCAACAACCGTGAAACGAACAATACCGAAAGCAGCATAATTGAATTCAAATCTGAGGGTAATTTGAATACGATGTCGTCATGATTCCGAAAAACAACAACATCATTAAAATGTCCGGCCTCTCCAACAACCAGTCGGGCCAATCCGGCCAATCGGCCCAGGTTAACGACGAGTAGGCCTCAATTTTTCATACTCATTGATTTTCCAACTTTTAGCAAACACAAGCATCACCGCCGCCACAAATCCCGAAAGAAGGTCAGATTAAACAGAAATTCTTGTATTTGCATTTTAGGATCCTGATTCTCTCGGTCCCAGCTTTTCCAAGGAATCCCTGGTCACGGTTGGGAATCCAAAAAATTTGCATAAACCGCCAAATTTACAGAAAGACTATGATGGTGGTGTTCAAAGATTCGCCTCCGACCCAAGCTACATGAGCGGCATCAGCAAGAAGGTCAGCAAAAACCATTTTCAAGCAGAGTTTTTTTAGATTATGGAGCTGGAGCGCGAAAAGGACCAGCTGATTCTGGTGAACCCGCAGCACAAGAGGAGGTAGTAGCTTCGAATGAACTTTTTTAGTTTATTTCCTTCAGGTACAAGAAGATCAACGACGAGATCGAGGAGCTCAACCAGAAGCGCTTCCACATTGCCACCCCGAAGAAGATGCGCAGCGTCAGCTCGTTTGACTACCCGCCGGCGTTGAGCAATCCGGCTACGATGCCTCCGGTAGGGGAAGTACTGAATTTACCACCTTGTATAATAACGTTTCGGAAAATTTACAAAACTTTGATGAAATCCATAGGCTTCATGAAATTTCAGGGCGACGAGATCACGGCTCGTGAGGAACCGCAGAGCGAGCTGGCCCATCTGAAGTTGCTCGTCAACCAGATGGACAGCCACCTGAAGACGCTCAGGGTCTGCAAGGTGTGAAAATTGTCCCTTAAAAAGACGATACCATGCTTCCAGGAGAACATCGACGCGTTCGGGCGCAACCTGCGCAAACGTATGGACCAGATGGACACGAAGGAGAAGAAGGCGAGGGAGTGGATGAGCCATCGGGTTGATGAGAGGCTGGTAGGAGGATTTCTGAGGCTTAAACCCTACACAATTTCACATTAGACGGTCATCGGCGCCATGCAGCGCGATGGGGAGGCGCTTGCGTTGCGTGAGGCGCCCATGTTAGCACAGATCCAGCTTTTGCAAAGGTGAGGGTGCGCTTTTTGGATTCCGAAGTGCCTCTACTGGCAATTTGCGTGTTAATAAAGCCCGACTCTTATTGAGAGAGAGAGAGAGAGAGAGGCAGAGAGAGAGCGGGAGAGTGCGAAAGAGAGAGCAATATTTTTCAGGGAACGCATCGATTGCGAAGACCTGGGCCTCTGCACGATGTCCGGCTTTTTTGCTGACAACTTGGTAAGTTCCGGATTAATTTAGCTGCTTAATACCAAAAATATACTCTTCCCAGAGCACCTACATGCTGGCCAAATGGCTGTGGTCCGGGCTGCTGTCGCTGTTCTACGTGCTCGCGCTGCTCAGGGATCGGTACGAATGTTACCAAAGTACTATGATTTCAAACCATGGTTTTACAGAATTTAACTATTTTTTCCAGTTTCTACGAGAAGATCCACCCGACCCCCGCCAATTCGCTTGCCTCCACGCCGGTGATGACCGCCCAGCCGCACAGTGACATGGACCGCACCCAGCGCTCCACCGCCTCCAACCGATCCTCCGCTTCAAAACGCTGAACATCTACTTGCAGCGATTAAGAGATTATCACAGATCGTTTATCGACAATTACTTTTTACTGTACGACTGGATTTGTGTTAATAAAAGGCTCCGGGTTTATCCTCTTCTATTATGATTCATTCTCATCTCTCCGGAATTTTGAAGCGAAAAACCAACAAGATCAGACGATGAAAAGAAGGTTTCGAAACCAAAAGAATTTGGAAAAGTCCGGAATCCCGCGGCCAGATGTGTTGTCTACTAGCCCTCATAAAAATTTTCTCGAAACCTTGCTTTGTCTGTCCCCCAAAAATGCTCTGAAATTGCTGCCTCATCTTCAGCCACATCAAATTCGCGTCTTTATATATCGGGGTGCGATGTGGCAAAGCTAACATTCGGAAATGAAGCTCGTTATCGTTGCCCTCGTTGCTGTCGCCGCCGCCCAGAATGCCGAACCCAATGTGGTAAGAAACCATTCAGCTACAATTTGCATCCGGTAATTTAGTGGGATCCACCCCGTGGACTTGCTTTCCCGCCTCTGGCCGAGTGGAACTTGGAGTCCAACTGCTTCAGTGAGTATACGCAATGATTAGTAAGACTAAAATGACGATTTTACGATTTTCGGGCCATTTACAAGCACCTTATAAATTTATTAAGCTCACTTCCTAGGCGTTAATGTCTTTTGTTAGGCTGCCTCGATGTCGCCGCCGTGACCGAGAAGTTCGGGTCGGACGGATTTCAGTGCTCTGCACCTCCGGGCCAAAATGTTGACTGCAACGCTTGCTGCGCCGAGAAGACTCTCCACCTTGGGCTTATGTGGCCGGTGCGTAAAAAGGGCTGAAAGCCGAGGTCTTAAGTTTTTATGACAATTTTCTTTTTTCTAAAGTTTTTAATAGCTGCAAAACGCGCTTAAAAAGCGTTGTCTGACCTCGCTGGCGTTGTAGCAAAGACTTGGGTTGGTTAGCATACGTAGGGAAGCGGCTTTATATACCTAAGCCCTGGATTTCAGTGCTTCCTAGTCGTTCTCACATAAACCTTAAGTAATTATTCTTTTTAGCAGCCGGTGGTCGGTTTCCCGATCCTCTCGATGAGCGACAACCAGCCGGCATGCGCCTGCTGCTTCAACAAGGGCCAGTGCGACATCCCCATGCCCAACCAGCAGCAATAACTTTCCCGCGACTATGTGAATAAATGAACATGACTTTGAGGTCTTGTCACTACCCCAAAAGCGACGTCGAATAGCTATACCTCGAAAAGACATCGCTACCCCACAGATCACAAAATGGTTTTCCCCGGAAATTGCAACTTTTCTTAGTATTTCCTATACTTATCATATTTTTAAGCATGGACTTTATTCGCTCCACCGTATTTTTTTACCAAAATCTGAATGGCTGTTCCAGTTCCACGGCCTCTCCACTGCCGCGAGTGATGGCTTTGTGTCGCCTCTGGCGCTGTGTGGCTGGCCCGATTGCGATCTGGCCCGATTTGCCGATTTTCGTCGCAGATTTTCTTTCAGTGCCGGCTGGCGTAAGAAGACACGTTTTTGCCTGTTTTCTGATTCATCCTTTTTTTGTGATTCTAAATCTATTGGAAGGGATTTGCTAGTAAGCCGGGGCACTCTGGTTCCAGGGAAGTACTGACTCACGTCATTAATGCAAAACCATTCATTGGCTCGCCTAGAAATTCTGTTGATTTTCTAAGGAATGAATACCCATCTTCCGTAAATCTCCCCCGTTTTTTTGATTCAGTCGGCCGGGGATGAACACATCCGGCACTTAGCCCTTCACCGGCTCGTGTAAATGCCCGTTTTCTGGAGAAGGGTATGCCTAGGGAAGGGGATGCAAAAAGGGATGTAACCGCTTTCAGGTTCAATGGCTTGGAAAGGTATTCGAGAGTGGACTTTTGTGGGGAAGGGAAAACGAGTTGCTCGACCATCGTCCTGAGTTTTAATGAGCATTTATTTATACCTTCGAGTAAAATCATAGCTTGGCGCTAAGACGCTCGTAAAATACCCGCTAGAAAAGAACTTTTTGAGGCTGTAGATTGAATTTTTCACGGAAAAATCTGCCATCTTCTGCCATCTTTTTCTAGCGTGTAGACGAAAAACGCTGGGCGTGTTCAGTAACCCATAAATTGTCGCTAAAAAGAAGCTTTTTTGAAGACTGAAACTTGATTTTTCAAAAACAAAAATTGCCATCTTCTGCTCTCCCTTCCTACGGTGTGTTTGTGGCATCGTGGGATTAGCCTCGCTAGCCACCACGACCGGGCTATTATGGCATTGGCTGACTGGGAAAAGTGAGGGATGGCACACAACACGCCCAGGAATTGGCACAATTTTCGACTTATCCAGCGGTTCCAAGGCTGCCATCCAAACAAACCGGAGGCCACGGATGCGGTTACGCGAAAAAAGAGAGGAATTAGAGTGGTCGAAGAATGAGTGGTGTGGAGACACATTCATCAGAATTCGTGCGCACTACCTTCCCTCAAATCTAGTGAAATTGTAAAGGCCAATGGAAGCAATATTTTGCCACATAAGCAAGGAAAGATATTAGATTAAAGTTTTAATCCGGACAGCAAAATCTCGACAAGCAAAAATCGCGACAGCTAGTTTGAATGCCATTCCTTTTTCAACAGTTATTTCAGCATTAAGGCCGTTTGGGTTCTGGATTTTGGGATTATGGCCTCTCGGGGGTTTTGGCTATCGAGATTTTGACGTTATCCTAAAGAATTTGGCTTACTACTACTTCTAAAGTGACTGTAGAGTTTGAGAAACTCTCCACGCCGCTCCACCACCCAAGAATAATCTCTAACGCAACCATTCATATATTCCGCTAACAACTAACCCCGCTCATTGATACTCCGGATCACAATTCATTCCCGTTCTTGCACCTCTTTTTAGACCCCTAAAAATACCCGGATGTGCGCAAGAGCCCTGGCTGCAATTTGAATAATCGGTCGCCTGGTCGTGAGGGCCCCCGGTGCCCCGGGGACTACGCACCAACCACGGCCGGTGATTTGATTTAGGCTCCGCGGGGTCGCACGGGTTTTTTTCTTATGTTTTCCGCGCGGCCATAATAGACCGGAAGTTTGGGGAGGGGTTCGCTTGGTTCGGGGTGGGGGTAGTGTACAGATGAGGCATTAACCGGATCATCGTCATTTCTTTTGAGAACGGGTCGTTTCGTCTGGCTTCATTTGTTTTGGAGGCGTAGGTGATATTTATATTTCTATCCGCTCTCGCTCTCTCTCTCTCTCTCTCTCTCTCTCTCTCTCTCTCTCTCTCTCTCTCTTGCTCTCTGACGCTCTGTCCGTCTCACTCTCTTTCTTCGCATGGAGTTCGGGGAACGAAGTATCGACGAAAATGACCTCAAAGGATCGATGACCGTACCATGCAAAATGTTTCCTTACCATAATTATCAAATTCAATTTGATCTATTATGCACTCACTCAGCAGGACTACAGTTTGCCACCAAAGATTATCAGGTTTATGGATTCGTGTACGCTAAACCCGGGCTCAAATTATCGCACAAGACAGAGTTCTCCTTGGTTGATGTTTTTCCATGAAAATTTCAAGATAGCTCTGTTTGATTTTGAACGTTGTAGTTTTTTCTAAATAGGCAGAAAAGTCGAGCACGAGCTTGGAATGTGCCAAATAATTGTTTTTAACGCACAATTTAGCAAGTGAAGGTGGGGCGCATTTTGGTCAATTTTTCGATCTGCTAAAAATTACTGAAAGGCTATTTAGAGAATAAACTATTTACATGAAAAAGTAGAGGGATAAAAACTCTTTCGAAACCCAAAAAGTCAACTGTAAAAATAATTAGCAATCGTGCTCAAAATCGAGCTCAAAGGAAAGCGACGATTTTCATTCTAACCCATTAATTTCGAGCAATTTAAACGTAGATAATAAACTAATACCAGTTTCTGATAGAGAAAAGAAAGCTCTTTCGAATGATATATAATACTTGGTCCAAAGTCCACGCTTAAGACAAACAGCCGGCTTTTAAAAAAGCGCAGAGACTTACGTTCCAACCCAATACCTTCCGAGCCTCTGAATTTCTTACTTCACCTCAAAAGTTGGCATTTCAGGTCAATCCCGTCAAGACCCCAAGTTTTTCTAAAACCTCAAGGCGACGGTTCAGGTGCGATCTAGGTGGGCAAAGGTACACGTTGAACCAGAGCAACCGAGAAGGGCGGATTCTCGCCGCGGCGTGTTGCTCCAATTTTGACCCCGACAATTATTGGGGGCGTTGAAGGTGCGGCTGGGAAGGTTGAGAACGAGGGGAGGGAAGGGCCGAGATCGCCTTTCTCCTCGATATCCAGCTGCTCCCTTACCTTTTTCACTTCTCTCGGGATTCTCTTCAGAATACGGCAAAATTGGTTGCTGCGGTTTTGTGCCCGGTGTACAGTACTTTGTACTGGTGTTCCATCACAATCTCGCGGGCACTTCGGACCACTTGGCGCTTAAAACTGGAAGACGCCTAGTATCCCTACAGTCAAAATAGCTGATTAAACAAAGGACAGTCAAAATAACGACAAGAATATGTCGGGATTTTGGCTTCCAGTATTCTGGTTGTCGGGATTTTGGCTGTCGCGATTTTCCTTGTCTGGATTACGGCCTCCAAATTCTGCTTCTCGCGATTTTGACAGGCATTCGCTAAATACTGGCCTCCGCTTCCAGATTTGCACAGATTCTCCTTTCTATCTCTGATCTCCGACCGTCGGTTGCACCGATCTGTACCCCCCTTCGGATCCCGATCCCGTCATCCCAGCGAATTGAGCTCAATTATATGCGCAACAGCTCGCGTCTCGACTAGAGAACTAGACCACCCGACTACCAGATCGCTTCATTTTTGAACCTTCTAGCCGTCGAGCGGGTGGAACCCGACTTTCCCTCCACCAATAAGTGCAGTTCAGCCGGGTAGCTGACCATTCTCTATTAGGTAACGGCCATAACTAGGTCAGCCGCTAGACGTTTGTTTTGTTCGAAACTTTCACCCTATTCTGGAGAAATTTGCTGGGTTCAAAGGATTCAAAAATGTTCTACACGACTTTGGAAATTTTAAATTAATACTAGCTACAAACAACACTCTAGCTTAGCCCTTTGCATTGATCTTTTCACGCGATAAACTTAATGAGCTCCTTCCCGAAAGCTTTTCATTTTTTCGGCCCTACAACGTGCCTGAGACACCGATATTAGCCCTATTTATCGTGTCTGGCGGCAATAAGGAAGGTCCTTCTCGGAATCCACCCTCTCTCTTGCCTTGGCTGCTCGTATCGCCGCGCTAGAAACCATTATTTTTCCACCAAGCCAAAGTGGGCAAGTTCCGGGGATCATTTGGATACGCACCGGAGGATGGGGAAGATGATGTAGGTGACATATATCTCTCAAGGGCGTACGGTTTTAACGCGCCATTTAATTTTTATAGCTTTTCAGCCGGACGTTTAAATCGGGCTTGAAACGGAAAAAGTTCGGAATAATTTATATATCTTTATGTGGATCACTCTGTTCAAAACTCTATCATGTTTCCATTTACTATATTTTATATTTCATTTTAAAATATACTTAAATATTTTTATGTATATGAGAATGGTAGATTTTGAAAGTCGTCAACTTAAACTAGAAAATACAGGATGATTTCGAAATATCGAGATATTCTGAAGACCTTTTACTAAGCGACACCTAAACCATATTTGGATAATCGAATAATTCTCATTAACATTTACCTGCCAACCAGCAGTATAGCCAGAGCCCCCCAATAAAATAATGAGCCCCATTTGGGTGGGGGCACCGCTCATTAGGCGTTTCCTGTTTACCCCCATTGCCTCGATCGGCTGGGTGGTGGAGGCGGATAAGAAGAGGCCAGGTGGAGGAGGTCTTTTGAGCTGTCCGGGTGGACGATGTGCACCCAGGGCACAGCGGAGTCGCTTTTTACCCTCACAATGTCAATCCCTAAATTGTGCACCCGGCGTGGTGCAGAAGTTGAACGATTTCTTGCTACTTTTGGACTGGTGCGCTGGGTTTTGGTTTTTGGTCAGGGTACGGTAGCAGGTGCCGGATTTTAAAGTCCGGGAAACTTAATGAAAATTACTTGCTTGTTTTCCATTGAAATCTGCTCCTTTTTTGATCCTTAAGAGGCGAAAAGCTGCCCAAAAGGCCTCTGCTAG